TTGTGCTAGCAGTCAAAACGAACCCACTGGAGCCGGGCTGGACACACGGGAGTTCTTATTCCCTGACAGAGTGGTTTAAGCTTGAAGTTCTCTGCCTATAAGTATCATTATGTCCATGTCTGTAGTGGATTTAAAGAAGAGGCGGGATCAGTACCTATTAAACATTGTGGTGCCACGCGACCGATCTCCCAGTTACGTCCACGCCATCAATTTATTACCATTATAATGGTACTCACTGTATTTCAGTAACATTTCCGCAATGTCACGAAATAATTGCACAGGCATATTGGCATTCACTTGGACGCCTACAACTAGTTACAGCAGTGATCCATATATTGACAATTTTAAACCGCACTTGGTAGTGACCCTGTTTCTAACACTTGGGACAATTAAACTAGCTGCAAATTTTTGATAATTCTCCGTGGCATTTTTGATATAATCGCCTTTTATGTAGCAAATAGTCATTTCAAATGCCCAGAACCTACATTCCCACAAGTAAGCCAAATTAAAATGAAAAAATTAACGAGTCTATCGCTACCCATTCTAGCTACCCAATCGAAAGTAAAGAACGTTTTGAATATGGACTACTGAAGATGAAGTATTCGGTCGAGTCTACTGGATTCCCCATATTTGCTCCTCGGGCATCATTTGATGTAATGCCGGTCAGATCCTGAGAATTGGTAGTAGTAGTAGTAGTAGAAGAAGAAGAAGAAGAAGAAGAAGAAGAAGAAGAAGAAGAAAAAGCAGAAGCAGAAGAGGCAGAAGAAGAAAACAGGAGAGTGACGCAAAAAGGCACGAGGACTTAGTTTGACAAGAGATTTATCCATGAAAGTTTCCGGAGGAATTGCGTTGACGAACTGCCATTGGGGTCTAAACCACAGTTAGAAATTTTAAACGCCTAAACAATAAATTTCCTAGTTCGTAATACAAGTCAGATTGAGATAGCACCCACAACCTGTGCACTGGGAGGATTTAGAAGCGGGCCAAGGACACCAAGTGTACATTTGCTACGCGTCACCCGACTGACCATATTGTAATAGAGTTCCTAATTCCAAAGTTTATGTTCCAACACTGATTGCTACTCATTGCCTCACCCAACTCGTTGAACAGGCACATAAATCACCTCACAGATGGATCGGATAACAGCATCTACAACGCCCACGCATTCTTTCAAACAATTCACCGCGTTAGGGCAGGCCCTGTCATCCGTTTTGATGACGACGTCGTCATCGTCCTGTTTACATGCGGGCCAGACTTGTCCCTGCGTGTCAATCCAGACACAACATATGTTTCACATTAGAACACGTGAACGCATGCTGGTATTCTAAGCAGAAAAGCAGGCTTACATGATTGAACGCCGATGCCTGTTTTGATCGATCTATGCGTGTGAAGCTGGAGAGCGTAGAAAGCGCTGTAAAAAAATTCCGATACAACA